AAATTGACCTAGACGGGAAGGCAGGCTGGTTGCTTCAAATATCCACTGAAGTCTGTACCTGCCCTGTTTGATTGCTGTGACAAACCAGATGGTTATTGAGGTATAAAGACAGACTCGGTAATGTGAATTTTAAAAAGGTTTATTTATCTTCTTAGAGAATAGATCCTGCAGTGTGTGCCCTAGGACATGGCTTCCGTATAAGGACAAATGCTACTGGGTTTCTACTTCAATCCAGTCCTGGAACCAAAGCTACAAGGACTGTGTGGCAAACGGATCTCAACTGTTGGTGATTTCTAATACAGGAGAGCAGGTAAAATAATTTGTTGCAGGTGAAGAATCCATAACTTTCTCACTTTTTCTACTTTTAATTTTAATTAGAAAGATTGCAGTGGTTGGGCTAGGGTTTACCAGCAGGCTTCCGGTGATACTTTCAAGAAAATGGCATCAGCCAAATGAATACATAGTAGGGACTTTCTCTCATGATTGTTCCTATTGATCTTCGATGCTCAATTGTCATCTATTCCACACTTTTCTACTTGAAGGATAAACAGATGGGGCAAAATCCACCTGTTAAAGTACCCCACTGCATCAGAGGCACAATTCATTTGGAGGAACTTAACACAACTTCAATAATAGGACATGGTTAGGGATTCCAACAGTCATCTTTGTAATGGAAATGAAATGATATTTTATAGGAATACGTCCAGAACATAATAAAGAACAAGAGTACATGGATTGGGCTCATGTTCAAATTGCCAGAGAAGAAGTGGATGTGGATCAATGGTTCACCGTTAAGCCGAACGCTGTGAGTATTCATATACGCATGGAAGGAATCTTTTGCAGAACAAAGTAAAAGAGAAAGAGAGAGAGATGTATGGATAGTATAGGTATTAAATGTCTCTACGGAGTCCAGAACAGTGATGGGATTCAAAAACTTTTATATTACGGTTCGGTGGGTGTGGCTTGGTGGGCGCGCTTTGTGCACGTGCCCACACTTTCTGTGGATGCACGTGCCAAACGTGCACTTTGCGCAGGTGCAGAGGCGTTTGCACAGGCACAGAGGTGTTCCAACTCACCTCCTGCAAGCTTGCACTCTCCCGGTCGCTTCAGCAGCTGCAACACAGCACTCTTCTGTGTCACGCAAAGCAGCTGTGCTTCAAAAAGCAGAAGGTAAAGGTGAGTATGGGAGCCCAAGCGGGCGGGTGAGCCCAACAGCAGAGCAGCGGAGAGATCTGGTTCAGTCTCCGCAGCTCATCGCCGCTATCAGCTCAGCAGAACCGGGCAGAATCGGTAGCATACCACCACTGGTCCAGAAGCATTTTAAAGAGATTAAAGAAAATCTTTAATCTTAAAGAGATTTAAATCTTTAATCTTAAAGAGATTTAAAGAAACTACTTCAATACAACCAGAGATGGTATTCAGCAGGTTCTGCCCGTTCTGGAGAACTGGTAGTGGAAATTTTGAGTAGTTCAGAATACCACCTCTGACTGGCCCTGCCGCCATCTACTCTCTGCCTCCCGAGTCCCAGCTGATCGGCTGGGTTTTCTTTTGTTGCCCTGTACAGGAGATCGGAGCTGGAAAGCAGGTTAGTGGGATGGGGAGGGAATGGGGTTTTTGCAGTATATCCTTCTCCTGTCACGCCCACAAAGCCACACCCACAAAGCCATGCTACGCCCACAAAGCCATGCCCACAGAATTGGTAGTTAAAATTTTTGAATCCCACCACTGAATACAAATGAAAAACCCATGTTTAAGACAGGTTCTGTGGGTTTATTTTATTATTTTTGACTTTCAGCTACTGTTAGAAATTCTTCCTTTTTTCATTCACATCACATACTGTCCAACATCTAATCGCTTGGGAGGAACCACACAACTGCTAATTACTCAGGGAGAGGGCAGACAAATACAAACACTTTTTTAAAAAGAAAAAAACCCTTTTTTAAATTAAAGAATAGACAGGAATAAAAGAATAAAAGATGTCAACGGTAACAAAAATTTCCAGGAACAAAAAGAAACTATGGCAAAGTACCAGTATAGATAGTTGTTGACTAACAGCCATAATGGAGGCTGTCCATTAGGATTGGAAGTCATGATGGCCATTGAGTATGAAAGATCCACATGATCACATTACTTACAACCCCACATTCCTGTTCTTCCCTATGCTGTCATTAAACAAATGCATGGGTCATTAAGTGGAGCATGCTGTGTGCTGGGGGGTCCTGGGAGACATAGTGGAAGGCCTTCTCTGAGCTCACAAAGCCTCCTCCGCCATCTGAGGCACCCCATACTCCACTTCCTTCCCCTTGGGGTCCATGCAGGCCTTGGGCCGGCTTCCCACCCTACCAGACCCCCACACCCTCCTCCTCCTAAGTTTCTCTCTGTGTGTGCATGTGTGTGTGAGAGAGAGATGGGTGGGGAGAAGGGGGAGGGATAGGTTGTTGTGGCATTAGTTTACCATTTCCTAAACTGAAAGTACTTTTCTCTTTCCCTTCACAGATCCCAACCCTTAATGGCTGGCTGCGGTGTTATAGAAAAGAAGGGAATCGGGTCTGATATGTGCAGTACAGAGCTTCACTGGATTTGTCAGAAACCGTCTGTATTCATCTGAGGATTTGCATGCTGAATTAAAAACAAAATCCTCCCCTCCCCCTGTAAATGTTGGCTGCCTTTTTCAACAATGGCTGTTCCACCCCAGAGCAAAGAGCTGCTATCTGAGGAAGCAACTGCGAAATCCTTATGCCAGCCTGTTGTAGATGAGAAAAGGAGCATAAAAGGAAGTGACTTCTAAATGAAAAAGATTTTACAGATATAGATTAACAGAGTTGGAAGGGACCTTGTAGGTCATCTAGTCCAACCCTCTGCTCAAGCAGACCCTACACCATTTCTGACAGATGGAAGTCTAGTCTTTTCTTGAAAGCTTCCAGTGGTGAAGCTCCCACAGCCTCCGAAGGCAAGCTGTTCCATCAGTTGATTGTTCTCCCTGTCAGGAAATTGTCCCTTATTTCCAGGCTGAATCTCTCCTTGGTCAGTTTCAATCCATTATTCCTTGTCTGGCTTTCAAGTGCCTTGGAAAATAGCTTGACCCCTTCCTCTCTGTGGCAGTCCCTCAAATATTGGAACACTGCTGTCATGTCTCCCCTGGTCCTTCTCTTTTGTGGGATCCGTAGCAAATACACGAGTCCATAAATAAGATATACATGCTCCTACTACATTACTTTAAAAAGATAGTTCAATAAATGAAATAGAATAAGTTTCACTTGCATTTTTAAATATAGCATGTCAAAAAAATAAAAAAATAAATAAACCTGTGGTTGCCTTTAGAGATGTTGTAGTTGTTTTTACTGCATCTATTTTTATGCCTCCCAATGCACAAAATCTTTCGTTTCAGATTTATAATTTCCATCTTTCTTTTTCTTCCCTTGTTAATTTCTGAGATAGAACAGGCTTGTTCATGGACAGGCCTATAAAATCAGATTAGAGATATCTGGCTGTACTTCTGGTGGAGTCAGAGGCTAGGACCGCAAGCTCTATGGCCCCGGTCCAAGCTCTCCCCATTGGAGGGCTCCAAAAGGAGCCATAGCCACTCTAGGAGTGGTGAAGTAAAGGGGGCACCTTGCAGGTTGAGGAGAGCCGCATCTTTTCTCCCTGACTTGGAAATTCCCCCTCATCCGAAGATGAGGAGCAGTGGCAGTCAAGATGGCTGCCATGAATCTGGAGACAACCGGAATACCTAAGAAAGTGCAGGAGTGAAGAGAACAGAGACTGTGTTGCTGGGTGAGATGATTCTTCTTTTATCTAAAAATTAACCCCAAGAAAAACAAAAAATCCTAATAAAAGGTTCTAAAAAGATGAATGTTTAAGCTGCGAAAGAGACCACTTTTGATAAAGAGATTTATGTTGAAAAGCAAGTCGAGAGCGCCATCTGCTCACTGAAGGAAAAGTGACTCCTAGACTCCTTGAAATTTACAGAGGAGGAAAGGAATATTTGATAGCTGGTGGATGGCTGTGATTTTTAACTGTTTATTGCCTTATACTTACCAGAGGTAGAAATAAGAAAGACATTTTATAAACAAGACTCTGGGAAACCAGAATAAAAGACTAAAATTACAGAGCACATTTAAAGAATTTGGAAAATACCTTGGATTATTAAAGTATTGAATAAATACTGGAACTGACTCAGCTAAATGAATGACTTTGTTTTGAAATAAATGGATTCTGATTGAAATTATTATCTGCTGGAAAAAGGGCAATATGGACATTTGAGAGGAGAGCGCCATCTACTAAGAATTGGAAAATAAACCATGCTTTTATAATTTTGGATGCTTTCTGAATTAGATCGAGACTTTATTGTTTATTGTACTTTTACCGCTATTGTGTTTGGAGTTGAAGGAACAGCTATGGAAATGAGAGGATTTTTTTTAGTGAGATGACTTTGTAGTTCCAAAATATTAAGGATTTAATTGATGGTATAGATGAGAAAATGGAAAACATTTTGCAAAGAACAATGGATAAAGATCAAAGTTCCCATGAACAGGTGGAAGCAACAGAAAGATTAGATGAAATGGACTACTCAAGCCAGCAAATTGAATATGAACAGGGAAAAAAATATGGATCAGAAAAATCAGCAAATCCGCAAAAGCTTGATGAAGAGGAAGACCAGACAAATGGCAAGCAAAAGGAGTGGAAAAAACAGATGAATTCACCACATCAACAAATAAATCAATGACTGGAACAAAAAATAGGACTGATAAATCAGCTGACAAAGGAAGAAAGACTGAAGAAAATAAAACAGACAAATTGACAATTGGAGAAACAGGAAGATACCTTTGATGAGGAGATTGGGATATGGGCAGACATTTGGGAGAACTGGCAGCATGAGATTGTACTGGGAGAAATGTTTAGCTTGAACAAGAAAGATACAGATGAAGGTAGAGATAAAGGAGTGCGGGAGGCGAGTTAAAAATGGATAAGAATTGAAGCACTAAAGAGAATTAAAGATGATGGATAGAAAGAATTGCCCTTTAAATATTAAAGTAGCTTGATTGTAAGCTGAAAGAGGCAGAAATAGAATTAGAACCAACTCTGTTCACACACAATATGGATGTATATTTTAAAAAATAATAAATATATATATATATATTAAAAAAATCAGAATAGAAACGATGGACTGTAATTTCCCATCAGTCCTCCCCATTGGATATCCATGAAAACTAGGATTCTTAGTCATTGTCCTCCACTTAATTATCGTCCTCCTCCATTATAAAAAAAAGTCAAGTCCTTGACTTACAACCATTTCTTAACAGTTACAACATTGCTGAAAACAGTGACATGACTGGTCCTCATACTTCCGACCATTATTATATCCCATAGCCTATGATCAAAATTGGCAACTCTCCCTGGGAGCTTTCAACAACCAAAGTCAATGGGAGAAGCCAGATTCGCTTAACAGTGATGGTGATTTGGTTAACAATGATAGCAAAAAAGGTATTAAAAAATCAGATGAACTTAATAACTGCATTGCTTAGTGACTGAAATTCTGCTTGCAGCCATGATTGCAATAAGTCAAGGATTATGTATAATTCCTCTTGAAGAGGCATGGATAAACCACCTGGAAACTGCTGTCATGCATATCACACATGCAACATGAGGACATTGTAGAAACCTAGTTTTGTGCCTAAACACCCCGCTCCCCGGTAGAAATTGCTAATATTTTATTTATTGGGAAAATGTATTTGACCGCTCAGTTCATTCATGATTACGCTGGGAGGCTTATAGAAATAAATTGATGGTTGTTGATCATTGACAACAATCAGACCAATCATTTGATAGGCTCCGTATCACCCTGGGGTGCAAAATCATGTCTTCAGGGCCTGTCAAAGAGGGTGATTATCTTATTTTCACAGGGATGATGCTGTCAGGAATGAGAGCTGGAGGGCTCAGATAGCAACTGAATGGGATGTTTGTCGCCCTCTTTGCTAGATGAGCATTGGTTGGAGGGTTGGCTCTACCATATGGCAATACTTCTGGGGAGGGGTATGATTTGCATGTTTGCGGGTGAGAAGCAGTGGTAGGATTCAATTTTTTTTTTACTACCAGTTCTGTGGGGGTGGCTTGGTGGGCGTGGCAGGGGAAGGATACGGTAAAATCTCTAGGAAGAGGTATTATTTGCTGGTTTTTCAAACTACTCGAAATTTCCACTACCGGCTCTCCAGAACTGGTCAGAACCTGCTGAATACCACCTCTGGTGGGAAGAGTAAGGACCCCTGTGTTGGCCAAACCCAGCTGTATTATTTCAGAGAGCTTTTCACAAGCCAATGAGCTCCATTTTCTGAATCTTTTTTTTAAAAAACAAATTTTATTAATTTTTATTAATTTTTAAAAAACCAACAAAACATAAAACATAGAAACATAAAACCTCCTTTCTGAAAGCAATAAACATTGTTTTATACAACATAGTTCCAAATTATCATTTAAGCACATACATATCTTTTCCAAATTTCTCGTTGTTTCTCCCTTTAGAGATATTCCTCCTAGGTTTTATTAATTCTCAGTCAAACATAAATACCCAAAACATAAAACATAGAACATAAAACATCTTTTTGGAAAGTGGCTTAGCCCCGGGTTACAACTTTTTTTAACAGACCTAAATCAAATTCATGCTCACCTTATATACCATTACTTATCTTATTTACCATTCTATATTTTCTATATAACTTCTCCCCTCTTTTCACTCTCTTAATTATATTTTGTTTATTTAATCTTAATTTAGATCATTATACTTGTATCTTTTGTCCGTTCTTTTCCAATTATCTATTTATCTCTTCTCTTTAACAGAAAATTTCCCCTGTAATCACTAATTGAAGTATGATGCCTTTCTATCTTTCCCCTAAATTTGACACTTTAAATAATGCATAATTTCCATTCTGATTCTGCTTAGTACATTCTACATGTTACATTTTAATATAAGAAAATAATAAATTTATAATATAGTTAAGTATATAATTTCCATTCTAATTCTGCTTAATACATTAATGAGCTCCATTTTCTGAATCTTTTTTTTTAAAGGCCTTTTTGTTTATTGATATTAGAGGATCTCATCCTCCCTCCTCTCAGGTCTTGGAAATAACTCACACACACCCCATCCCCCTATTAAACGTCATTTCCAGACCTGTGGAAGTTTTATCCTTTTCAATTTCCCCTTTTTTTCTTTCCTGGAAAAACTAGTTTTCAATATTAATCACTTTTTTTATATATCTGGGCACCTGTCATACATTTGCTTCTTATCAGAACTCTTATACAAACATATGGCAATAAAACCAACTGCCAGTGCCTTTTATCTCTCAACTGCCTTTGTCTCCAAGGCAAGGCGGGAAATCGTTTCTTTGCATTTATTTCAATGATTAACACCATTTCGTGTGAATTAAATGCTATTTTCATTTGCCCTGCAAAGCTACACCACTGGTGCATCATATACCTCCAAGTTGAAATTGCCCTGAACAGAAGGCCCAAGGAGCACCTGTGCGAAAGGGTAAGAAAAAAGTGGGGGGGCATTCAGTGGCAAATCCCCCTGGCATGGGTCTAGGACAACTCACAGTGGCCAGGTCAGTGGGACTGGGTGGGCATGGATGGGTGGGCATGAAGGAGTGGACGCAGCCAGCTCAGCATTAACTCAGTGCAGCCAGGTGGCATGTGGCCAGGTATGCATGGCCAGCTGGGTACAATTGTATGAGCGTGGCTGGGTCAACGTGGAACAAGTCACACCAGCTTCCCTCAAAACGACGCTATAGAGCACTGCACACCAGAACAACCAGACACAAGAACAGTTTTTTCCCTGAACGCCATCACTCTGCTAAACAAAT